TCAGACGGTAACCACAGAATATTTCATTAATTAATGAGCGTTATGTGGTGCTATTAAAGCACTCACACGCCCCATTTGGCCCAAAGCACAGCCTTTTAACACATTAACTCACCGCAGATCTCAATCTGATGCATGAGAAAGCAAACGAGAGAAAAACAGAGACAAGCTAAAACTCATCACATGCAGTCTGTAAGGAGTCGTATATGGGGCGCAAAATCCCATCACATACTGTCATCTTTTATACTTTATGGTGCTTGTCAAAAATTTCAAAACATTTTTAGAGGGAGATTATACGACTCTAATGGCACTAATGCAAGTCTACAACACAAGAGGAGTGTTAATATGAGAACATACATTAGCGGGCTGAGGGAATATGTGCACCCAGTTACCGCTAATGGGTGCTAAACTAATAATTGCTTGGGTAATGCAAGCTTTTACATGGGCCTCTACACGCACACACACAGTGTACACTTAATTTACAATTATAATTTAGTTAATATGATTTTTTTATACAAGATGTTTTAGAAGTGCACACTAGCAATACAATTCAATTAGGCAGGAATTATGTCAAACAATATTAACATCTGACAAATTTTGCACGATTATTATCTAACTATTATCAGATGCAGAAAAGCTAGTTCATGATTTTATGACTTCTAGACTGGATTACTGTAATGCTCTGTTTGCTGTTTGCCCAGCATCCTCTATTAATAAACTTCACTTAGTGCAAAATGCAGCTGCCAGAGTTCTCACCAGGTTTAGAAAATATGATCATATCACCCCAATTTTATCCTCTTTACACCTGCTGTCCAGGCCCGGATTGGCTTATCAGGAGGACCGGTTCGTTTTTTGGTCGCAAAGGCCGGTGTCCCTAGCTGTTTGCACTCTCAGCAGTCACACTTTTTTTTCATTTATTTATTTATTTGACCATAGCCTCATCCTTTTTTTCATTATATTGCCGTAGCTCCGCTTTTTTATTTAATTTTCTCGCAGCCCCATGAGCAAAATGCAGCCTGCAGTTTAATGATGATGTAACTATCAGTCGACCCCAAACAGAGGCACCTTCGTGAAAATAAGAATTTGAATAATTAATATTAATGAATATTACACCTGCTCAATGAAAATCAGATGATTAACCACATTAATAAATCTGACATAACTTGATCAGAAATCTGTAAAGGGAAGAAAAAGATTAAGCCATCAATAGAAAGTAATACTGTGGTTAAACGAGTATTGCAGATAACAGTGCAATACTTATTTTTTCTTCGCACTTGCGTTACAGTGCCATTGTGATCCAGTGGTCAGCATGTTGCATTACAATGCCCCCGACCTGAGTTCGATCTTTACTTGAGTAAATTATTATTCTTTTTTATTCTTTTTTAATTTTTAGTGTTAAGACATATAATACTGTTTGGGTTACTCATTTAGGTGTACATATTTAATTTCTATTTTTTTGTGTGACCACCATTACAAAGGATTGGATATCTATAAAGAATTTTTTATGTTTTTTGATTATTTAAATAATAGTGTTGGAGATTTAGCTATCCTTTAATGTTCTCATATTTATGAATAATTTTTGAAGTTCTAAAGCAGCTGTTTCCTTGAAAAAGATGTGATACTCTTATTAGAAACTGATTTGGAAATGACGTTATTTTAATATACTCAGTCGTGAACTAAGGTGGGCCGGTCTAAGGCTTGAAAATTCAGGGCTGAAAAGGAGTCCCACTCCGGTCCTGCTGCTGCTTGTTAAGTTCTGTGTTGATTATAAAATATTGCTTCTTACCCATAAAATTTCTAATCTAAATAACTAAATAATCTAGCTCCTGTTTATCAAACTAACCATTTTCTCATTACAATCCAACCCGCTCTTTAAGATCTCAAATCTCAGGGATTCGGGAAGTACCTAGAATAACAAAGTCTACTAAAGGAGGTCAAGCCTTCTCATTTATGGTTCCGAAACTCTGGAATAGGCATCCTGATAATGTCCAAGACTCAAACACACTCTCTCAGTCCAAAACTAGATTAAAGACCTATCTTTTTAGTAAGGCATTCACACAATGCATCACATAACATTACGATGCATGAGTGTGCTCCACGCAGGTGAGCGGGCTTGACAACTACATGTAGGACACACTCCTCCTGTCTCACTCTATTTTTCCACCTGGAAATACTCATCCTGAGGCCTCTAGAGATTATGTGGCACCATTGATGTGATCCAAGACCTGTGAAGAAATGATGCAAAGGTATCCATGATCCTGGACTAGGCTGTATCTTGAGCTAATGCTGTGGTGCTTGTGGAGGAGCGGGAAGCGTGAGACTAATTCCTGAAAGACCACAGTGTCAGAAGATTTTGCATCGATCCTGTGGGCCAGTCTGAACACCCGATGGTGCCCTACTCACACATGCAGCTTCTCCATGATGGATGGCCATCGTTCTCCAGCCTCCGGTGCCTAGACTGTAGCTCTGCACAGGAGGTTTGGCCAAGGTTTTTTCCTTCACTTTCGTCAGTTGGTGAAGTTTGTTCCTCGCCACAGTTGGCACTGGCTTGCTTGATTGGGACTTGTGGAGCTGCGCATCGATGAATTTGTTCTTCAGTGTTTGGACTTTCAGCAGTGAAAATTAAACCACACTAAACTGAATTTAAACTCTAAAAACTGGACTGACACAATTTCAATTTACTAGAACTTCTATGTTAAGCTGCTTAGACACAATCTACATTGTAAAATCGACTATAGAAATAAACATATATTGAATTGATCTATAATGTGACTCCCCAAAAGGGAGGAACTATAAGCAGTATAAAACTCAGCCCGTGTTTAAAATGATTAAGCTTCAAATGCTTCCTCCATCAGCTTATAGCTTAACTACTTTTAACTGTCATGTCATACATGCAGTGATATTCTGACAGTTGAAATGCTTAAAACATATTTGAAAGTCACACACGCTAGCTGTGGTAAGCCGCACAAAAGTGATGCAATCTGTCTGCTAGATCTGACAGGGCTTGGAGGCCTTTGGATGCTTCTGGTACTGTTCACTTCCCCATTCTCTGACTCTTTTCTCTACCTCCCCCTCTGTCCTGAGGGAAGTTGCAACTTCAAAACATGCACAATAAAGTAAGATATGTCTCAACACCAAAATATTTACCACAGATGTTGTAATACTAATCTTCCCAAGAAACGAATAAAATCATTATATGAATTAGTTGTTTCTAAGGGGTCATATCCAGTGTTGGGGAAAGTAACTTTAGAAAGTAATGCATTACAATATTGAGTTACTCCCTAAAAAGGTAGTTTTACTTTACTAAGTTTACTTAGTTACTTTTTTTATAGTAAGTAATGTGTTATGTTACTTTTGAGTTACTTTTGCTTTACTTTTTCTGGCCTGGCTGAGGCTTGATCACTTTCAGAACTTGCAGTTTTTTTTTAATCTTCTTTTTTTTTAAATAGAGGAGCTCTGCAGTTAACAACACTGTATAACCTTCATTGACCTTTAAAAAATAAAATATCATATACGATAATGTTATCTTCTGAGAACTTCTAAGCCTAGACTGCATCTTTGCACAAAAAGTTTGCTCAGAGGAGAAATGGTCATGGCCAACTGAGAATAGTTTCTGTCAACATTTTTTCCTTCACTTTTGTCAATTGGAAAAGTTTGTTCCTTTCCACAGTTGCCACTGGTTTTAAGACTTGTGGAGCTGCACATCTATGAGTTTGCTCTTTAGTCTTTTCACTTTCAGCAGTGAAAATTAAACCACAATGAACTGAACTAAACTGAACTTCAACTCTGAAAACTGGACTGACAGTTTCAATTTATTAAAACTTCTATGTTAAGCTGCTTAAACACAATCTACATTGTAAAAGCATAAAAATCTATCTATCTATCTATCTGTCTGTCTATCTATCTATCTATCTATCTATCTATCTATCTATCTATCTATCTATCTATCTATCTATCTATCTATCTATCTATCTATCTATCTATCTATCTATCTATCTATCTATCTATCTATCTATCTATTCATCCATCCATCCATCGAAATTTCTTGCAAATAGTCCCTTATTTATTTTTTTAAGTAACCTGTTATGGGTCATTTGCAGTATTTAACTTGCTTATTAAATAACAAATTGAATGACACTGTCTGTCTGTCTATCTGTCTGTCTGTCCGTCTGTCTATCTGTCTGTGTATCTGTCTATATCACTCTAATACCTCTGTCTGTCTGTGTGTCACTAAAATATCTGTCTATACATCCCTTTACCCATCTATTTATCTCACTTTGTCTTATGTTTATTTGTCTGCCTCATGTCCATCTGTCTCTCTATATCACTCTAGTACCTCTGTCTGTCTGTTTATCTGTCTATATCACTCATCTATCTATCTATCTATCTATCTATCTATCTATCTATCTATCTATCTATCTATCTATCTATCTATCTATCTATCTATCTATCTATCTATCTATCTATCTATCTATCTATCTATCTATCTATCTGTATGTATGTCTGTATTTATCTGTCTATATCACTCTGTTCTATCTATCTATCTATCTATCTATCTATCTATCTATCTATCTATCTATCTATCTATCTATCTATCTATCTATCTGTCTGTCTGTCTGTCTGTCTGTCTGTCTGTCTGTCTGTCTGTCTGTCTGTCTGTCTGTCTGTCTGTCTGTCCACCTTTCATGTTTAAATAATACAACATATCTGGGAACATATCCAACCTATGGAACATATATTTAAAGAGTATCTTATTCGTTCTTTTCATCTGTTATATAGGTGGATTATAAACAGACGTGGATGCTTCATAATTGAAACATGTAAAAAAAGCATAAGCCCCACAATATTTTACACTTGTACTTCACATAACTGTTACAGTGTAAACATATACGTTTATTATTACATGTCTTTGTGTTCTATGATAATTACTTCACATTATGTGTTTACACATAGCCTACCACGTTGCAACATCTCTGTCACAGGTAACAACTTTAACCTCTCCAGAAAGAAAACGAGCGCGCATCTCGCTCAGAGAAGTTGTAATGTATTTAACGCCTGCGCACACTCGGTCCATAGTGGAGAGAATTGTGAATGGGGGGAGTATTTTGGGTGTACAGTCATAAGTCGGACTCCGAGGAGCCAGGAAGTAACTGTGAGCCATGCAGCTCATACGACGGATAAAGTAGCGCGAGCGAGCGTCTGTTGTCAGCAGTCGGAGATCACACACGCGCGAGAGTGAGGAAGAACAACAAGCCAACTGCAAACTACTGCCAAACCGAGAGCAGTACAGCTCACGAACCATACAAGAAGCCAACTCCAAAGAGCTTTTACACTTTAAAGAGCACAAAGCTCACTGCAGCACACTCCATCATTAGAAGAGAAAAAAGACGGAAGGAAATAAGAGCGGGGCTGGCGAGTTTCAAGGCAACGCTTCACTCTTCTTGGCAAGTTTAGACGAATATACCATTAACAAAATTGATCAAATCGCGTTCAAGATGCCTCGGGTGGTCCCGGATCAGAGGAGCAAGTTCGAGAACGAGGAGTTCTTCAGGAAACTCAGCCGCGAGTGCGAGGTGAGCTCGATTCATCCGAGACATTTGATAAAGTGGCGGAAACAAAGTTGCACCTCTCGCGTGACATGAAAACAAGCATGTCATCGCCTCTTTCTTTAACGAGCTCTGTGTAGCCACCGAAAATACTGACTGCTGAGAAGTTTTTATCCTTCTGTTCACCGCAGTTTCAGCGTTATGCTGTATCGGAAGCATCTTGACATAATGAAAGAAGTAGCAGTGAACATCAGCTTTTGGCATAATTGTTATACATATAGTTTACTTTTAATTCCAATTGATGATATCTCACTTTAAAAAGGCGCATCATGTTTTTGTGTAGCCTAAAAGTATGCTTTTTTAGTTTTTATTTGAGTAACCAAATTATTAGTTTACCTCAGGTCACACAGGCTTTATAAAATCCATTAAAAGCTGAAAACCAAAGTCAGAATGTGAAAAAAAATTATAGCCTATATATCAACCGACTTTCTCTACAGTTTGATTTAAAATGTTGTTCAAACATTAAAATAAATCTTGAAACTGAGCATTAAGAGACGTGTGTGACAAGTTACAAAAAAAATTGTTATATAGGGGTAATAACACTCTTCTGTGCCTTTTTCATCCCTGTTTACAGATTAAATACACCGGTTTCCGCGATCGGCCGCACGAGGAAAGGCAGGCGCGCTTCCAGAACGCGTGCCGTGACGGCCGCTCAGAGATAGTGAGTACACGCACCTCACAGCACCGGACAATTACAACACTGACCCTGCGTTCATGCAGCCGACGCAGTATTTAAACACTGCCGTGAACATGCATCTCAAACTCTGTCACCCAAAAACCATCTGAATACTTCCTTATATTTTTTGAGCGCCAAAGCAACAAAGATAGCATTTATGATCCATATTGTATAATTGTTTAATGTGTTTAATTTACCCAGTTGTCAGAACTGTAAACAATTCAACAATGCGTAAAATGCCTGTCGGCTTTTAATTGTAATCAGAAATGCGTCTCACGGGTGCAGATGAACTCGGACGTGTCTAATTTACAGTCTGCTTAAAACAGGCAGAGCGTATTAAGAGTCTTTCTCCTATTTATTAGATCTAGTAGCCTAAAATATTTAGCCTTTTAAAATTTTAAAGTTAGCTATTGACTGAATATTTTAGAGTTACGCACTATGGTTTGATGGAGGCCTGTTTATCCCTTTTTTAAATCACATATCTTCAGGGTTGTTTTGAGATTGTATTTAGCTGCCCGTTTTGTTTCTAAGAATAGATGAGACAACTGTTACAATAATTCAAAATAAACGTATTCAGCTTATTATAACGTTAGCTCAAACCAGACAGATACAATAAAATCTATTGCTGCTTTTCTGTTTGATGTCACTTTTTATTTGATTCGATTTTAGGCACAGTTTCATCAAACACATCACTTTAAGCCTTGTTGATTGTTATCTTTCTAGTAAATGCTTAATAATGTCTTCTATAAAATACAAAGTAGTTTTTGTTTGTATAATTTGTGCTTTGTGAGGCAAAGTTTTGTCATCATGCTTTCAATGCTAATGCACATTAGCTGTGTTGTACTCGCATGTGGTGCACTTTAGTTCTTTAATCAGAAAGACGCGGTCACATTTGGCCTTATTTGCCCTTAATGTCAACAGTAGATTAAATGTTGAGGTTCAGAGATGGGAACAGGTCTGCACAAAGCTACAGAGACTAATTTAGCCATTGCGATGATGCTGAGCAGTGGTTGATATAATGTATAATTATTCTTGACATAAGAGGGATTTTTTTTTGTATACTTAATTAAAACAACTAAATTCTGCAAGCCAGTTTAGCTTAAACCTCTTTTTGTTGCTCATGTTCCTTGAGAATGTTATTGAATTATAGAACCATAATTCAAAACCTTTACAGCAGTCCAGCTGCTATTAAAGTAAGTGAGGGTCTGAATTTAAAACAATTATTGATTTTGTACTCGTCTCGGTCTCTGTTATCTCTCTGTCACTCATTCACTCCTGCGTTCTGTCTCCTCTCAAACTCAGTTTGGCGCAGCCCGCTTTGCCAGCATTGAGCGTTGGTAAAATAGAATCAGATGTGTGTAACTCAATACCTCAAATAGGGAAAATGATGACTTGTGTTTTTTTCTCTCTTTGCGTTGCGCACCCCCCTCCCCCCTCCCTTCTTTTCCTGATGTTTTGAGCGCTGGCCTTGGCTCCAGGCATTCTCTTCTTCTCTCTGATGTGAAAACAGAAATGACGGGCTGCATAATTTATGCTCGGGCCTGGCTTTCTTATCCTGTTTGTATTGATTTCCCTCTAAAAGGCTTTTGTGGCGACCGGCACCAACCTCTCGCTGCAGTTCTTCCCAGCCAACCTTCATGGGGATCAGCGGCAGGCGCCCACCCGAGAATATGTGGACTTCGAGCGGGAGACGGGAAAGGTAGTCCTGACACTCTTTCTTTGACTGTATTTGCAATTATTCCTGTTTAAACTCTAACTCACGCCCCCTCATCTCCCTTAAAATATAAATCAGCTCATAATGTACACACACTCAAACCATTAATACATGCTAAACTTTTTGTAAGTAAAAAAAGCCACATGCATGATTTATGAAATCTGAGGAATGATTGAAGAAGTCATTTCTGTTTCTCTTTCGTCTTTTCCTTCCTGCAAAGGAAGTGTGTCACTTTTTCAAACCAGACGTATCCATGGTTTAGACAGGCAAAAGCCTTGATTTTCCATAATGATACGTTTCTCTCTCACACATCTCAAGGAAAAACGAACCCTTGAAATATTACACTGCAGACAGCAAGAAAAACAGTCTCTCTTGAATGAAACATGGCATGGCTTTCCATTTTATGTTTAAACATTGGATTTTATTTCTGTAGCAGTGTTATTTTAGACACGCTCATCGGTTTTCGATTTTTGAATTGGTCTTTCAACAACTCCCTCTTCTTTCTCTGGATTAAGGAATGCATATACTCCCTATAACCATAAGAATGTGAGATAAAACAGTACTGCAGTGATCGTCTTTTTTCCTTTCAAAACTATAACTATTAGTTATAAATAACTAATAAACTATAGATTTATTTCTGACAAGGTTGTCAAAGGCATACAGTACTGTATATCCATAAGTGCTCCTGACTTTTAAAACGCACGTTTAATCAGTAGGGAAATTAGTAGCTCAAATTTATGTTAGGGAAAAATATTAAATTATATCTTAAAAAAACAGCAAAAATCAAAGAGAAACAAATAATATATACAATTTTGTCTAAATGTTTGTAAGTTTGTAAAAAAAAATTTTTTTTGCAATATTGCATGAATTTAAATGTCTTTTCTTTTCATTTCCAAAGATGTTCTATGAGAAAAAAATATTTTAATAAATATATCTGTTTGATAAATCTGTTTTGTTCAAATGCATCAATATATTACCCATATGACTTCAACTGTATATATATATATATATATTAATAAATAAATGTAATTAAAACTTTCACAGGATTTCTAAACATTTAATTTTTTAAGCCCCTAATAAAATATTGTTAAATTAAATAACTTCATAATAATTTATTATTCTAAATAATTCCAATTATTTAGACATGATTTCTTTTTATTACAAAAAAAAAAATGTAAGTTATTTTGTTAGATTAGCTCCAGATTTGGCTTCAGTGCTGAATAATAATGTATATACACAAATCTAATATTGTAAAGATTCCTATAGGGTGTACTCATATATGCTGATCGATCTACAGTATCTATCTATCTATCTATCTATCTATCTATCTATCTATCTATCTATCTATCTATCTATCTATCTATCTATCTATCTATCTATCTATCTATCTATCTATCTATCTATCTATCTATCTATCTATCTATCTATCTATCTATCTATCCATCTATCCATCCATCCATCCATAACAAAATAAAAAAAATAAAGAAAAAACCTCCAAGGTGGAGAAACTGATCACACAGTTTTCATTGGTTGGGCATCAATCCTTTAACCCCTTCCATGAATCTTGTTGAATGTACAGTAAATCAGATTCTCAGCTGGACTTTTGTCTCACTGTATCTCCTGTGAAACATTATACTGTAAAGAAAGGGAAATACGTAATCAACACCATCAGGCATTCTTCTGCGCTCACTTTCCTACCATGTCTATCACACTTACCAAATGTGCTACAAATTTAATTCAAGTCTTCTAATGCTTTAAAGAGCCCGGTGCCGAGATGTTTACAGTTCATAAAGGCTGATTAGGAAATATGCCGCCGGCTAACAGCTTTATGGATGGTCGCACAAGACCAATTAAAGGAAACGCTCGGGCCGGATTAAATAGCATTTTGCCATAGGTTCTTTTAAGGTCACCCCTGAGGCCTTTCCCTTCAAGCCTTTGTGTAGTGCGAGACATTAGAGAAGCACTTACTGGCTTTGTTTGTGTTTTTACCACAAGCCCCTTTCGCAAAGCTGCCGGTGTTTCTAGCGCTGCTGTGGACAAGGAAGCCTCTCTTCACGGATGCTGCCTCACTGAGATGCGCTCATTAAAAATGCATCCGTGAGAAATCAATGGACCTTTTGGCCCCGAGGCTGACGGACTAATCTTTGGCTGTTAATTATTTAAAAAGGCGTGAAGGGTGTGTGCGTCGATCGTGGCCCGAGCATGCGTGTTTCTGAGCTTGTGCTCACTGGTAATCCTATCCACCTGTCTGTCACCTCTGCCAGAATGCAGATCCATGCAGCTTTAATGAGACTCACACCGTCTGCCTTCAAAATACAGCCCAAGCCATGCATACCCTAACACACTCTGACACTACCAGACACACATACACACTCATATGGCTGTGCTTAGATGTGTTGGATTGTTGCAACTTTGTGTTTAGTATTGTTTACCCCTTTTCAAGTGCAATATTTTTTGTTGGTTGGTCAGAGGCATATAAGATTTTTCTTATTGTGTACTTTGATGGCATCAGATGACGTTGCGTTATGGTATTTATATGATACCTGCAGAGTTGTGTGTAGCAGGTTCCACAGTGAAGTGTTACTGTATTCTAATTACATTTTTAAGGAACGCAGTAATCTAATGAATTACATTTTAAATTTTTGTAATTTGATTACGAAAGTCGATGTAATTGCATTACACAGCCATATCACCCTGCAGCCCAAGACTCACTGAAGCTAAGCAGGGCTGAGCCTGGTCAGTACCTGGATGGGAGAACTTTTAGGTTTTAGGTTGCTGTTGGAAGTGGTGTTAGTGAGGCCAGCAGGGGGCGCTCAACCTGTGGTCTGTGTGAGTCCTAATGCCCCAGTAAAAGTGAAGGGGACACTACACTGTCAGTGGGTGGCGTCTTTCGGATGAGACGTTAAACCCAGGTCCTGACTCTCTGTGGTCACTAAAAATCAAATGGCACTTATCCTGAAAGAGCAGGGGTGTAACCCCGGTGTCCTGGCCAAAGTCCCTCTATCGGCCCTTACGATCATGGCCTCCCAATCATCCCCTTCCACCGAATTGGCTCCATCACTGTCTCTCCACTCCACCAATAGCTGGTGTGTGGTGAGCGCACTGGCGCCGTTGTCCTGTGGCAGCCGTCGCATCATCCAAGTGGATGCTGCACACTGGTGGTGGTGTGGAGAGACCCCCCCTCATGATTGTGTACATGATGGTGTACGGCCATACACAATAAATGCGCTATATAAATACACATTACATTACATTTACATTACATTACTTGCATTACAAATGTAGTTTTTAGAAGAAAAAAATCTTTTAAATCACATTTTCAGGGGCAATGTCAGTTTATAAGCATGTGCTTTTAAATTGCTGGAGAACACGAGCTGAAATGGTTGCAGTCGAGAGCAGTTGCTTTTTCAAGTGATAATACATACATTTGATTTCATTGAGCGTAAAAACTAAGATACTGCTGTGAAATGCAGTCTAAAGAACTTTCGACTGCTTTGACATCTTTTGTGCATTTCCCAGGCACATCATTTGAGTCACTTGACAAGAACTGACCGATCTGCTTCATTCCTTGAAATATACACATTTAGGTTGACTAATTACCCCAAACAAACACAGAACACCTAAACACTGCATTGCTTTTCCATACTATGGATGTCGATGATTACAGGTATCCAGGTTTCTTCTTTTGTAATAAAAAAGGCAAACAGGTTTGGAACAAGTGAATGATGAGAGAATGTTTTGTTTGGGGTGAACTCAAGCTGCTAATGTCAAGCTGCTAATTACCCGTTTTTCAGTGTATATTAAATTACTGAAAGAGCTGCAGTTTATTTCGGATTTTTATAGGTATATTTTATGTATTAAAAGTAACTTCAAAGTAAATTAGTAATGTAATCAGATTACATTTTTCCAGTAATCCGTAATTTGTAATCAATTATCTTTTTAGAGTAACTTAACCAAAACTGTATAGCTGTATGTTACAGCTATTCTTAAATTATAAAATGTTGTATTGGATCTGTAAATATGGGAACTGGCAACTTTAAAAAAAAAAAAAATATTACAGTGCAAAATTTAGGTTTAGTTCAATGTTAAATTGCGCTTAGTTAATTTTACTTTAAAAAAGTGAGTAAACCTGTAAACCTTAAAATTATTAAGTAAATGAAATATGTGCATAAAAAATGTTAAGTCAACTTAACACATAACAGTGTATGTAAGTATTTTTTGTTTGACAAAAAGGCAGTAATGTTTTCATACAATGCTCATTTGTAGGTAATCAATGCATACTACCGCTTACTATGGTGCATTCTTGTTGTACATATTCACTGTTGAATCTTAGTATTGTAATATATTTTGAAGATCTATACTATTAATATGCTATTCCATAACTAGTTTTTGAATTTGAAATGCAATATATTTTTAAGAAATTTATATTTGTTTGTTTGTTTGTTTGTTTACACTTAATTGTCCCCAATGGGGAAATTTGTCTTGGACTCTAGGCCCACATTTGCATACACTGGATAGAAACAGACATCAAAAAACACAAAACACAAATCAACACAAACATTCAATCATTAACAAATATTACATATTTAAAAGTTTAATTGATATAGGTAAAAAAAGATTTCAATATCTGCACACAGGCAGCCTGTATCATCAACCAGAAGGCAGTAATTCATAATCATAAAAAAACTGTACGAGGGGTCAGCTAATATTTCAGTAGCTTTATCCTGAACTGATTGCTCATAGAGAGATTGTAAGGATCGATATTCCCTTTTCTCTGTGATTCTCATGGCTGTCTTTACCGGCCCGCCAAGCTTATCTTTAGATTGAACTGTAATGTTTCCATACCACACAGTAAATCCATAGCATATTATGCTTTCAATCACAGCTTTGTAAAATAAAAAACATCTTAACAAACTTATCAAACAAGCTTTTTGCTGTACCCCAAAAACTCTCAATCTCCATAAAAAAAATGCAGTCACTGCTGC